CGAAGGCGACGCGCTGCGTCGCCGCGAAGACCGCCGCGGCGCCGCCCGGCGGCCGCCGGTCGAGCGACTCCGCGGCCTCGCGGTCCTTGTCGTTGAACGCGCGGCCGTGCACGACGGCGCAGGCCCGCGCGCCCCGCGGGTTCCAGGCGTTGTCGCCGCACTGGTACGTCGGCGCGGCGCAGTTGGGCGCGGGCCGCAGGAGCGCCGTCCGGAGGGACCCGTAGACCGCGCGCTCCGCGAGCGACCGCCGCAGGTCGCCCGCGGCGCGCCAGGCCTCGAAGAGCCGCGCCGTCTCCGCGGTGCGCGCAAAGGCGAGGAAGGTGTCGGACCACTTGTAGACGTCGCGGGCCGGGTAGCGCTTCGCGCGGACCTTCGACGCCGGCACCTCGGCGTCCAAGACGCCGACGACGTCCGCGTCCGCGAGCGCCGGCCAGACGTCGCCGTCGAGCGCCGCGCCGAAGCCGTCGCAGGCCAGGCCGTCGGCGTCGAAGGCGACCGTGGCGTCGAAGGGCGTCGCGTTCAGCGCCTCCGGCCGCGAGACCGCGGCCGTCACGATGACGGCGTCGAAGAGCGTCTCGCGCGCGGCCGTCTCCGCCGCCGCGATGACCGCCGCGCCCGTCGCGTCGCAGACCGCGGCGACGCGCGCGCCGGGCACCACGGCCTTGAGCCGCGCGGCCGCCGTCAGCAGCAGGTCCGCCTCGTCCGACGCGAAGAGGAAGCCGCGGCCGCCGAGGGGCGCGGCGCGCGGTCGCCGCAACGCGCAGAGCCAGCACAGCGACAGCCAGCGCGGCGGCATGGGTTTTACGAGGAGCGCAGCTGTTGCGGCTGCCGAATAAAAAAAAAAAACGTGCGGCGACGCGAGGGCTGTCGACACGCATAATTACGGCAGCATCACATGCCGGGCTGGCGTCTTCGAATTAACGTTGCCGGCAACAACATCGGCAACACCACGATGTTGCACGCTCTCCGGGAATAATATTGTTGCAGGATCCCTACAAAGTCCGCTCGTAGGATTTCGGCGGAGAGCGCTCGCTCCCAGGATCTCGGGCTGCCCTCAGCTGGCGGAGCGCGGCGGCGGCATGTCCGAGCCGAGGGCCAAGGTTCGCGGACCGTGGCAGGACGCGGACACTCTACAAGCGCCCGTCACGCATGTCTCCGGCAACTGCTGGGTGCACGCGAAGAGCGCGATCGACAAGCCCGAGTACCGGAAGCTCTTCCGCGCGCAGGACAACCGCGCGCGCTTCAAGGCCGACGTGATCGACCTCGCGAACATGTCCGTCGTCGTGCGCCCGCAGAAGAAGGTCCTGCTCTCGCTGTTCAAGGCGAAGTGGGGCGGCCTCGAGCCCGTGGCGACGCGGCGGTGGTGCGCCGAGTACGTGGACGACGAGCGGAAGAACATGTGGACGGGGATGGACTTCGAGGGCGGCACGCCGAGCCAGAACCAGGGCCTGGAGAGCACCAACCGCTGGTACAAGGAGGACTGCACCGGGTACCAGAAAAAGATGCTCGATGACTTTCTGAACGACCACTTCTCATGGATCGGGGTCAAGTCGCTGGCACAGGCCCAGTTCCCGCCGTGCCCTGGACATGAGATTGCTGATTTCCGTAAGGCCCAGGTGAGCCTAGGGACACTGCAGTGGGACGTGGTGGCGACACGAGCCCTACAAATCCACATCACCCCACTCGCCGGCTGGTTCCCCATGGAGTGCGTCCTGATCCTCGCGAACAAGACGATTGCGAACCTCACGAGGAAGCATGGGAGGGGCAACCTCGACATGATACGGGCCCACGCGTCGCCGATCCTCCAGAAGTTCGAGCAGCTCATCACCTTCATGCTGACAGACGAGCTGCTCGCTGGCGGCTTCGACCGGCTCGTGGACATCTCCAAGAGCGCCCACGTCCTCTTCACACGCCCCAAGGCTGGAGGTGCGACCACCAAGGCCTGCAGCTGCAAAGACTTCTTCCTGAAGGGCACCTGCGAGCACGTGCTTGCCTGGGACATCAAGAACAAGAAGGTCGAGGTCCCTCCCCAGTGGGACATCACCGTGATCGGAACGAAGGCGAAGCGGGGCCGGAAGCCGAACGCGA